ACATCGGGATGGTTTCGAGGATCATCGAAAGTTGCCAAAAAACCGCCTGCCTCACCTTCGTCGACTGTGAGAAGGTGTTTGTCATCGAGGCCATCGCCTACTGCCAGCGCTTTTCAACCAAGGAGTGGAACCGTTTTATGAGAGGACGTTGGCCGAAAGCTACAAGAATTGCACACCAAAGATACAGCTTTTCCATTGCCTCTAAGCATATCAGTTGCGAAGGAGGTCCAACAAGGCGAAACACCGTGTTGCCAAAGCTATTTATCGCCGCTTTGCGGTGGGCGATGAAATCGCTGGATTGGAGCGAAAGAAGTACTCGAGTTCATGGAAAAAAGTCTCGAACCTTCGTGTTGCGGAACATTATCTTTTCAATCATCATAACTGAAGCGAAGGCGATGCTAAAAGAGCTAAAGGAAGTAGAGAAAAGGATAGGAATGCGAATTAACGGAGGAAGACTCAGTTCATGAGAAATGCCTTTTGCGAGGATAAGAAGAATAAATGTTGCGAAAAATTAAATTAGAAGAATCTCTTATTACGAAGACGTCTTCTTACGTATATCTCGGGCGCTCGCTGAACGTGGAGAACGATTTGAAAGAAAATACAACAGGAGGCGAAGAGCAGCTTGGGTCGCCTTCGGACCCCTAAAATGAGCCAAAGACCAGCTGATGGAACCGGAGCTCCGAGCCCATCTGTTTGATTCAACCGTTCTCCCAGCTCTCTGTTATGCAGCAGACACGTGGCCTGACTCTGTGGCTACCTCGAAGGCTCTTCGAACAACTCATAGAGCGCTGGTGACGTCGAAGTTTAACCGACGCAATCAACATCTTGTCAGACTTCGCAGTTCAGATATGAAATCAATGTCCCGCCCTCACTTGAGCGGAATAGACAAAAAATCGTTAGGCTGGTCAGCTAATGAGGACAGACGAGTGGACACAATACTAGAAATTTTGAAATGGATCCCTCGCAACGCAAAACGTCCTCAAGGGAGGTCACCTATCAGATGGGCTGACGTGTTCGTTGCAACAACTGAAATCTCGGCTGTTAACGAGTACTGGATCTGGACCTCGCGAACGTCGCCGTCGCTGTTGTATAGCAGCATCGTGGATGACGATAGCAAGGGACGGAAACGGATGGAAACAATGCTGTGGTCTGCATGAAAAATGAAGACATGCCGTCTAGAGTATCTAAGTAAGTACACTATAGGAAACAGCTGCAGAACGCTTGAAAATACAACACATTGCCAAAGGTTTTTTTTGTTGCGATAACAAAATTTGTAGATTTAAAGAACATTTATCATGATAAGTTAAATGAAACAATATGGAGTTGTAATATCGTCGGTAAAATTTTTGTAATATCGTCGGGAAAATTATATACGTATTTTTAATCTCATAATCCAAACGCGCTTCTGATCATGTTGACAAGGAACGAGCGTTGAGGTTCTGATTCCCTCTTTCTTCCAGATCTTGCCTGAGTTTATAACAAGTAGTGAAAACTCTCTTAACAAGAAATCTAGAGCTTACCATTACAACCTTTACATTAGCATCATTTAGCATATCAGTAAGTTCCTTTTTAGTGTCAATTTCGGTTCGGACCTGTTGAGCTATCTGAGCGTCTAAATCTCTTCCATGCTGCAAATTTTAGTTTTTCTTGAAATTATGAAATTTCCTTTGAGAATCCAATACTTGTTGCTTCAAGCTTTTCAGTTTTTCAAAATCTTCCACTAATCGCTTTGTGCGCTCCTTTGACTCTTCATGAACACGTTGAAAAAGTTTTTCTAGTGTCTAAATATATACTTTTTCTTTACATAAACTTATCATTCAGTTAGGATAGAGCATACCTCAATTGCTTGTATAGACTCTCGCGTTTCTTTCAGCAATTTTTCAACGGCAGGATCTTCAGCACGTATGTCTTTTGTTTTTCTGGAAGGCGAAGCACTTTTCAGTAGATGAAGATTTTTAAACATGGCAAATTCAATAAACTATTCCATTTTGATTTTTTTGTTCATTAGGATTTGTATGTATTTCTTAGCAATGATCTATACAATTCCGTCAAAAGGAGACATTGAGGGTTGGCGCTTCACAATAAGGAACTCTTTTACTTGTTTTCAAACAAAGAACTTTGTCCATAGGGATTGTTGCCGTAAGCCTATTTTTGAAGTTTGTTCTTCTGTAAACGGCTTATGAGAAATAATAGAATATCGTTCTGTGCTGCATTGTAATCCCGGTGTTCCTGTGGATAATTAGTCGACAGTCTATAATTTTAGCAAAAACCAATTAGTGCCCATGTCATTTCCTTGACTCAGGCGACTTGGACAAAATTCCACAGGCTGAAGATTCAGGATGAAGTTGATTGACTGAAAAGACTATGACTCGTAGTAAACTTCCCATCAAGTGAGATGATCTGACCTGACGGGGCTAGTCTAAGTCCACCGGTTCACATGATCCCGATTCCTCCGCCATAGTATAAGGATACAAAGTCCGCGGACGGATTACGGTCATGCGAGGTCCTGCGATGAGATGAACTGAGCCTCTAAGAAGTGAGTTCTCCTGACGAGTTATACAAAGGAAATAGTGTGTGTTTTACGAGAGTCCGTCAGGGGAACCCGTAAGTTGCTCGGAACCAACTTACGAGCTTCCCTGACGATATGTACTTTTGCGTCGAATGTGGGGCATCACCGAACCAAAAGTGCACACTTTTTCTAGTGATCTCAAGATTCGCTCCTAATCAATGACCTGGTTCGCAACCGTTCTGTCTACAACGTTACGGTGCACCTATGTTCCTTCTTGTAACTCCTTCACATGGTTTACTATTGAGTGGATTCGAACCATGGTCAACTGTTCAGTGTTCGCCCAACCACTGAACCACCAATACTTGACACGACTAGGTTGTAAAAGTCTAACTGAAGTTAATTGCGCATGGATCTTTGCAATCAATTGTTCCCCTGTGCCTTGCTTGCCTTGGAGTGAGTTCACCTGACCCTGTCTTCAGGTGATCTCCGCTGAGGGGACTTTACTATAGGGGCCTATGCTACAAACAAACCTAGCTACGTACCTTGCCTAGCGCTTAATATCCTGACCGACCATTAGAGAAGTTCTGTTTGGTTTTATTTTGTGTTTACAGGCACCCATTATTGAAGAAAAAGGGGTATTATCTATTCAAAATACCAGCTCATTTGCGCTGAGTTTTAAACCGAAAGCATCAAATCTAAAGAAGTATCATAACAAGGAAAATGGGATCTTTCATCAAACTTTCTTAGGAGATTCTTTGAGTTTTTTAGGGAAAGATATCTCTTCCGTATGGGGAATTATTACTAAGCCAAAACCTAAAGCGACCTTTATCATGAATAGAGCGTTGATAGCCCAATGCATCCCTGCTTCCTACCATGCCGCACTTTTAGCGGATAAAATAGCCAAAAACATACTTGTACAGCTTGTTAATCAATTTTCTGAGTTGTTTTTCAGTATAGACTTTCTTCGTCTTCTGTTTTGGCATTCTCTCGTATTCCATATTTGGAGTACTGCGTAAGGAGGATTTCGCTGATGTTGAAAACTGAAACGGAATTATGAAAAGACTTCGATTTGCTTTTGAGGCTGTACAAATGCTAGTTAATCGTACATCAAACAGATCTTCTTCCGACTCCTTTTCTAAATTACGTTTCCGTTTTGATATGCTGCTTGTAGTTGTTATAGCTGTTTTAATCGACTCCTTTGAAGAAATTTTTTTTGCTGGTGACTCCGATGCTGTCACCACTGCTGTTTTCTTCCGATTTTCGACTAGAAATATGCAGTCAAATTCAAACGGTGAATATCAAAGAGTGGGATATTAATTCAGCAAAAGAACAGACTCAGTAGATCTTCTGCTTTTTGGGGGACAGCACCTCGCTGGCTCACAGAGTAGGCGATTTTTGAAGTCGATTTCGGAGCTACAGTTGCAGGTAACACATCGAAATTTGTGGGAAATCAATTTATGCAATTTTCAACTATATTTGAGGTAAAAACTAACTGGAAGTGTGTGGTCTTTTCTCCTTGCTAAGCACGGGTAACAGCGACTTATTGATGTTTGATAATTTCGTACGCAAATCCCTGTTCACATCTTTGAAGCTCTTGATCTGTCTCTTCAAAGTCGGCGACTTCTTCTTTGAAGCATCTTCAACCATCTCATGCCGAGTTTTCTTACTGAAATGAGGGTATACAATGATTTCAAGAAATTTATAGTTTTCATTGTGGAGATAATTGAAGAAGACTCGGTATCACAGTTTCAGTTTCATTCTACTGCACCATGATTGAGTGGAGGACTAAATACCGCCGTTAGGCTCATCTCCGCGAAGAACTCCAGCTCCATTTCTTTCACCTAAAACAGAACGCGGAATCCCTTTAAGTAGAATATTTTAATGTGTTTCTAGCCTATATCCTCAGGCTGTTCACGCTGATTACGTTGCCTTTAGACTAAGTAACGAGTATACAATCTGAGATGATAAGTAGTTCTTGTAGACGCATTCTATTTTATTTCTCACTAGCTGGCAAACCCATCTACGCCCGGCATCTGTCAATGAGTAATATTTCTCTTGTTATAAAATACAGTCTGAAACTCAGGGAACTGAAAAAAACCCTATGAGGGTTGCAAATATTACCAATTTGAATCCCTCATAGGGTTTTTCATTTGTTTTCTCAGCTGCCAATGGAAAAGTAATGTGCATAATTTTCTTGCTTCTTAACGTTTATTATTTGGCTATGTCTACTGTTCAAATGAGCAACCGCCCGCTCTACCTCTACTTGAGAATCATATGTAGTTAAATGATCTTGTTTAGTCAGTTTGATAGCGATTAAGATTGCATATCTTTTTAAATAATGAACTTGTTTAGTGCAACAAAGTCGTAATTTAACGTCGTCAAAGCAAGTGAAGCTAGGGTGAATGACAGATAAAGCCCCACAAAATTATAAAGGCTAACAGGTTGTACCACAGAGATTCTACAAAACAGTAACTATGGTGGTTGCCATGCGCGGCTTTGCTCGCTTAATCTCTGAGATACAATCCAAGTTATCCTTTATTTTGTGGGGCTTTATAGTTGTCATTAACCCTAGGTCCATTTTTGCTGTGTACCGCATCCTGTCTACAGCTGTTGAGATCTTATGTTGTGGACGCACGTAAAGTCAGATTGTTGAGTAACACTAAAAAAACCATTGCTTGACAAAAAGACAATGACTGATGTCACTACAACCGTACAGAGAAATGAAAGTGCAGAAAATTACGAGGTTTTTGAGACGCCTC